AGACACATGAAACCAGACGTCGGATGAAGAAGTTATGAATTTTTAACAAACTTTTCCTGTCCCGGCCTGTTAAAAAAATAACTTTAAAAATAGACTCAAAATTAGCCGACAGATTCTAAACGAAAGTTGTAGAGTACGTCTCTACCTATGTGCGGATATAAAGAACGTCGAAAACGAAGCTCGTATGCCAGAGTTATGAATTTTTGAAATCAGGATGGTTATTTGCGAGACGGTCTGAGGAACGCTCCGCGTAGAGAAAGGGAACGCCTCACGTTTGGATACTAGGCCTCGGAAGCTCCACGTCGCCCCAGTAGACTTCGGACACATACCCACCGGAACGCGCTACGTTCGCATGTACGCGCTGCATAGACCGAGGCCAACCCCTCTATAAATAAGATGTGAGGCCAACCAACTTTCTCACACTTAAACTCCATTCTTTCTATCTCTACACTCTCTCAAAACCTCCCAAACACCCCGAAGCCTTGGTAACTTCCCTATTACTAGATGAAAGCCCCGGAGTACCCGAAGACTCCGATAAACAGAGCTTTTCGGCTCAGAAGATCTGCCAGCGCAGAGCCCGGTTTTTAGCAAGACCCGTTGTTTCGTCGAAGGAAATTATTTTTTTAAGAAGCTAAGCGTTGTCTGAGTTCAGAATCATCACCTTAACAGGTGAGTGCATAGTTACTTTCATCGTACACATAGATATGAAGTATCTTATATAGATTACGTGCTATGTGTGCATATTATCTATTTATCTTAAGATCTATGCTGGATGAAATATTTAAACTTTTTCTTCAGATCTGAACTGTATATGTATTTTCTTTTCAGATCTAAACTTTTTCTTCAGATTTGAACTGTATATGTATTTTCTTTTCAGATCTAAACTTTTTCTTCAGATCTGAACTGTATATGTATTTTCTTTTCAGATCTAAGCTTTTTTTCTTCAGATCAAAACTGTGTATGTATTTTTTTTAGATCTAAACCTTTTTCTTCAGATCTGAGCTGTATATGTATTTTATATCTACAAATATGTTGGGTAAAACATGGGTAGATGAAATAGTTGGTGTGTGATGAAAATGAGTTGGATGATGAGATGAAATGCGATATAGATCATGAGATGAGGGTGAGAGGTGAAAAATGAGAGAAACCTTTACCCAAGCATTGGCCCCGTCATCTAGTAGAGTATGGATGACAATCACAGACTATTCTAGACGGTCCGGTGGAACACTAGCAGGCTCGCAACCTGTAGGTGTTGTGAACGATATGTTCACCCGGTGTACTCTAAAAACACATTGACATGTATTGCGGGTGGATTCCCGAAAATAATATTGTCGATAAATGAGATAAACCCTGGCAGCTATGGACGTAGCGCCTGTTGGATGAACCCTGACAACTATGGACTTAGTTCCTGTTATATAAACCTTGACAATGATGGACTTCGTGCCTATTCCTTAGGAAAATCCTTAGGAATAAATAATGAGGAATAGACTATTCATAGAGAAGATACTTAAGAATAAAGAAGATAATGGGGATGGGTAAATGGTTTAATTTTCTGATGAAGAAACATAATAACTATATTATTGTGGGTTGAAAACCCTATGTACTCACCAGGTTTCCCAACTTGACCGACTCATTTTATGTGTATCACAGGTGTCGATATCAAGCTACATTACACAGAGAGATTAAGGAGATATAGATCCCTAGTGTAAATGAATGTAAGTTCTGTTTATGCTTATGTTTCTGTATTGACGATGACATCCCAAAGTTTTAAAATGAATAATTCGGAAATGCTTTGATAACATATTTATCATGTTTTTTTTGGGAACAAATTCCGCAACACTTTTCTTTAAAAGAATACTCTGATTTTAAAAATGAAGCATAAATAAATCGATCTTTTCTGGCTGTGAAAAATGGGGATGTCACAGTTGAAGGTGGGTTGCACCTGATCCTACATCGGCTTGGAAGGAGAACAAAACATTTCCTTATAAGAGGTGTGGATACCTTCCTTGTCACAACGCGTTTTAAAGTCGTGATGGCAACATATCATATAAGAACTCTGTAGTTAAGCGTGCTCGGGCGGGAGTAGTATCAGGATGGGTGACCCCCTGGGAAGTCCTCGTGCCGAGTGGCCCAAAGCGGACAATATTGTGATACGTGCGGGAGGGGATGTTAAATATGGTATCAGAGCTAGGACACGGGTCGATGTGTTCGACAGGGACGTCGAACCCTATAATGGGGGGGGGTGAAGGTGGGTTGCACCTGATCCTACATCGGCTTGAAAGGAGAATGAAACATTTCCTTATAAGGGTGTGGATATCTTCCTTGTCACAACGCGTTTTAAAGCCGTAAGGGCAGTAGATCCCATGGGAACTCTGCAGTTAAGCGTGCTCGGGCGGGAGTTGTACCAGGATGGGTGACCCCCTGGGAAGTCCTCGTGCCGAGTGGCCCAAAGCGGACAATATTGTGATACATGTCGGAGGGGATGTTACATCAGTCTTGTATAGGTCTATACATATCTTTCCGGCTCTCGCAATATTAACGACTATAGGTTCGGGGTTAGCCGAATTTAATCAGGCTATAGGATGAATAATAACAGCTCACTAACACGTGTTTATTTAATCTTAAGTATGATTATCGTTTTGTCTTTTCTTCACTTAGTTTTTCCTTGATACTAATTTATTATTCATATATACTAAACCCTATATACAATAATTATCTTTTCATAAATATCCTTTGATAGGTTATGGTACACTTACAATTATCTGGATAACAGGATATTAGGGCAAAGTAACAGTTAAGTACAATGTTTATCCTAAAATTTGGCCAGCATTACTTCTAGGTACTAGGTTATCATAGGAAATCGGTCAGCATAACATCTGGGTATAATCTTTTCCTAGTATATTGGTAGCATAACGATTAGGCATAATATCATTGCTTAAGACTAGGCAAAGTGTCCACCGACATATTATCCTATCGTTTCATACTTTACATAACTACTGATATATTTGCCAAAATATAGTTTTATAAAGCAGTTTGATAAGCATGTATTCCCACCATAAAATCTTTTAAAACTATAAAAGTGGGGCCGTGAACTCACCCTCTACGCGTGATACCACCGATGTAGGGTTGATTCAGGCTTGGTACTTCGGGATGGCCTCGGGATTACAACAGCTCCAAGAGAGGGTGAGAGAGAGGTGCTTGAGATATGCAGAATGGAGATGTTGACCCTGATATTTATAATCGAGGTTTTGGAGTGTGTGCGACACAAATATCTATGCACGTCGCGCGTGATCATCGTGGCGTCATCCTGGAATCGCGACGTGTTACCCTCTCCATGGGCCACATCACTCACAATTCGATCGAATTCGATGTTAGGTGCACGTCGGGCACTGGCCTACACCTCGCACGCACAAAAAAGATTTTGAAAAATCTATATCTTAAGCATACAAGCCTCAATCTTTACCCTCTTTATATCTATGTAATGGTCTAAACTAGTATTATAACTTTCCTTTAGGTTGTTTTGGCTAGTTTTGACTTTCAACTTTTTTGCCTAACGCGGGTAAAACTAAATGATTTTACAAAAATCATATCTCTCTCATACTGATCCCGTTTTTGGCATTCTTTTTCCTAAAGTTCTTATCTTGCATCATCAGCCTTGATTTGAAGATCTTGATTTAGCTTTTTCAGCTCCTCCTGGCAGAGAAGGCTCTCACTTAAATCATCAACCAACCGCCTGTTCCTCTCTGATAAACCATGCACTTCTTCATGGAGGTCCTTTGCCTCCACCTATAGTTTCTCATGTAGAGTGTGCATCCCTTTCAGTGTCTGAAAGGCCTCCTCAAACCTCAGTTGTTTTTTGGCAAGGATGTTAGCTCTCTCATGAGTACAAAAAGAGACCTCGCTCAGTAGATGGATCCCTCCCATTAAACAGGAATGAGCTTGTTAAGACTCTCTTCATCGGAAGCATCTGCAGGTTTAGGACCTTTACGAATATAAGTCATAGCATAGGGACGTTGAAATTCAGGCAACAAAGCAGCAAAGGTAACAAGAGTATGTAACGAAACCTCCTTATTAGAAGAAGGAATAACTACAAGAAAAATAGAAAAAGCAACCAAATGTCATGGATAATATACAACAAGAAGAAAAACATAATAAAGCATAATATTGAAAACATACGAGTTTGTTATGGATTCTTCTATGAGACATCATGATATAATTCAACTTGAGAATCATACCCGAACAAGGTATCAGAATCGAGAATTTCATGAGATGGAACACTCGAACTAGCTGGAACCCCCTAAATCCAAAAGAAGAGGTCTGTTTGTCACAACCGTAGACTCCGTCTTCGATGCCTCAAAAAACCTAAATCCAGTCCCAAAGAGTTTTTTTTGAAAGACAGTAGTCGCAAATAAAGTGGTTGAAGTTTGACTTTTTGATAGTAAGCCGAGAGATTCAACAACAGGAGTCTCCCCCAGAGTAGAAGAAAGAGCAACTCCAGTGTCTGGAGGTTCAACATCGGAGGATGCTAATTTTTGTTTGGCATGCTTTAATTCAGGATTAGTAATAACATGGCACTCATAGAGAGTAACTATTATAGATGGCTCCATAGAAGGTTCTGGATTCGCAGATTCAGAAGAAGTTTGACTGATAGAAACCGACGCACCTTGAACCTTTGCTGCAACACTTCGATTACTTCTTCGACGCTTAGGAGAATACAAGATGATCAGTTTGTCGGGGTGACTCATAACTCCTTCCAAAGAGTTCTCTCTGATCCAGTTTTTATTTTCAAGGAAGGACCCTTTAACACAACTTTGGCTGAAGAATATGGGGGTTTTCCACTATCAGGCTCTGCTTTCACTATCTTCTTGGTAGTGAAAGTAGTTTTTATTTTCAAGTATGGACCCTTTAACACAACTTTGGCTGAAGAAGATGGGGGTTTTCCACTGTTAGGCTCTGCTTTCACTTAGGAGAAGACAGGACGATCAGTTTGTCGGGGTGACTCATAACTCCTTCCAAAGAGTTCTCTCTGATCCAGTTTTTATTTTCAAGGAAGAACCCTTTATCACAACTTTGGTTGAAGAAAATGGGGGTTTTCCACTGTCAGGCTCTGATTTTACTATCTTCTTGGTAGGAGAATGTACAACAAACACAAAGATATCCGTTCTAGATGGATTGATATTAGAATCCAGGCTTGATTCCGATTGGGAGGATGAATTTGGGATAGTTACCTCCTTTGTGACCAACGAAGAACTAGCCAAGCGCTTCCTATGCAACTGCTCTAATACAGTAACCTCGCAACCCGATAAGGTTTCCATAGTTTTTTCCCCAATTTGTTCCAATAAGCATCGATTCCAGCCATACCTAACATTATCTCCTCAGGATCAACCTACCTAACAAAGTTACGTTATAAACGACTCACAATACTTTGTTCTTCGAGAGAAAAATAGGAGAGGGATCGACAACTATGTCAGTAGTAGCACCATAAAACATTCTTCCAGGAAAAGTAAAAGCACGAACGAAGAAAAATGCTTCCTTCCAATACTTTATGGAAGTGGGAAGCCGTCACGTATTTCTACCAAACCATGACGAAGGGAGAAGGATACCCAATCTCCATTAGATATAGCCACATAGAAATGATTAAATTAAGTGATAGAATGAGCCACGTTTAGGTCAGAGCATTACATCACTGACCAAATAATTTTTTGAAAACCATTAGGATTAACTTAAGAAATATGGAGATGATAATAATCCAAGACCGTCATCAAGAAATCAAATGTCAGTAACCGCAAAGCTAACTTGAAGAAAACACGGTAAACACCAACAAACCACTATAGGGAGTCAACAATGACACTCCCCTCTTCAAGCAACCATGGACTGAATTCAGGGTTAATGTGATATTTTTTCATGATAGAAGAAAGGATTTTTGGGGTAAGTTTGGATTTCATGGTGTGAATGCTTGAAATATCTTTGCTAGCCATGGGTAAATACAATAAAGGAGAAAGAGTGAAGAACAATTGGAAGAATAAAATTGCAGGTGATGAAGAAAAGTAACCAACCAAGGGAGGTATTTTTAGCAGATCAAGCAAAGCTATATTTATGGAGCAGACAAAGCGGCAATTATATACTGTAGTCCCCTTAAATGGAAAAAGTTGAAGAGACGGTTATATGTAATGATGAACACTAGAAGCCACCAAACTGTCACATCCGATTTTACTTCAGGTGTCTTTTCTTATTCGATTACAATGGTTACTTTAGCTTTTAAGTTTGAATCATTGCTTTTGAAAAAAAAGAGTATTGATCCAAACTTGGGGGGTGTAACATCCCGACTTCCAGGTATGATATTTATTCCTTAAAAGGCAATTCCCCTTGGAACTCGTCGAGTTGATGGCCTCAACTCGACGTGTTGAGGGCTTTTGGGCCGCACATATCTTTGGACCAACTCGACAAGTTGGTGGCTGATTAAGAAACCCTAATTTTAGGGTGTTGCACCTTATTTAAAGGCCTTATACCCTTTAGATGTCCTCCTTACCAGTCTCCTCTGTACAGAAACCCTAGTTTCATGCATCCTCTCCCATATTTGAGTGTGCGTGAGCTTGAAGAGTGATTTCTTGGTGTTCTTTTGAAGGAGCTTGAGGTTTGAGGTGGCTTGATTGGAAGGAAGACATTAGATCCAGAGCCTTCTCTTTTGTTGCAGTCATTTTGAGGTATAAAGTTGACACCTTGCTTATCTATTGCTTAGATCTATTCCTTGGAAGTTTATTGTCATATTTGGCTCATTTTTGGGATTGTTCATGGGTTGAGTAATTCATGAAGTTATCACTTCAGATCTGGACGTTTTGTGGCCTCACTGGACTTAAAGTTTCAAGCTTTATCAAGTTCTAGGCCTCCTTCATGCTTTAGGTCCCTTATTAAGCCTTCCTTGAGTTTTGGAGCCTCTTGGTGACATGCATGGACGTAAAGTTAGCAACTTTACATGGTTTTCCAGCTCTTGGGTATCATATCTACATTTTAAAGTGTTAGACTTGATGAAAAAGGACTGAATGTGTTAAGCTGGGAAAACTCGGCGAGTTGGCTAGGGTTTTCCCGCTTCTCTGAATACTGTCGGAACTCGATGAGTTGGTAGGTGCACTCGACGAGTTGGGTCAACATGGACTATTGACCTTGACTGTTGACTTTGACTTTGACCATGGTTGACCAAGTTTGACTCTTGAGGGCATTTTGGGTATTTCGGGGTTTTGATGGGGTTGGTCAATTGGTGGTTGTAGGCATTTGAGTCCGGAGCTAATTTTTGGAGTTGGATTTTACCAGTTCAGCACTACTTGTGAGGTGAGTATTCCTGACTGTACTTGTTGGGTCGAAGGCACCACATGCGACCCTTTTGGATTGTTATCCTAATTATTGCATGATTAAGTACTGTACTAATCTGCTAGATCTGTATCCTGATAATAGGATGATGTTATGCTTAGCGATCTGTAAGATCTGTCTGTTTATCTGTTGACTGGTTATATGTTTAATTGTTATGTATATGTCAACATGTTATGCGCGGTTGGGTTGAGGCAGACCTGCTTTGTGTTGAAGGCCAACAGACCCAGGGCGTCCCGGATAGACTGAAGGCCAGTGCGGCGTACCAGTCTGGCCGAAGGCCCGGAGAACGTTCCAGATAGGATAAAGGCCCGAGGTGGCATACCAGTCATGTTGTAGGTTCTGTGAGCGTACCAGATACATTGTAGGTCGGTGGGGCGTTCCAGTCAGACTGAAGGCTCTAAATGCATATTGTTTGTGATATTATTCTGGTTTTTGTGCTGTGTTGGTATTTTAGGGGAACTTACTAAGCTTCGGGCTTACAGTTTTCGATTATGTTTCAGGTACCTCGGAGGATCGCGGGAAGGCGAAGGCATGATCGTGCACCTCCTCATATTTTGTTTCATGATTTCTGGGATTTCTCTAATTTCGAACTTATTTTGAAAACAATTTGTACACAATGATGGTTTTTGGATTTATGTAAAAGTTTTAAAATTTTCAAAATTTTATGGATGTCACAGGGGGACTTAATAGGGTATATACCCCGAGGCTACACATATACCCTCGCTGTACCAACTGCATATGTACCGAACTATATATATATATATATATATATATATATATATATATATATATATATATATATATATATAGGTGGGTTCAATTGAGAAAATAAAAAAGGTTGAGAATGAGGGAATCATTCTCAGCCACTCATTTAATTAGCCTATAAACATAAAGGACACGATGGCAAACTTGTAAATATGATATAATAGCGTTCAATCACAAATACGTAAGTGTAGAGAATTAGATAACAGTTGAAATTCATTCGTTTTTTGCTCTTTCAATCCAACCTTCAATTCTGCTTGAATACGAACATATCTTCAACATTTATGATTAATTATACTCCCAACATCATTAGAACAACATCATCGATAATCAACAAAAAATTCAATTCGTATCATTCATTCAACATCGTTCATCAAATAAAACATCGAAATTAAGGTTAGAAAAAGATCAAATCATTTTTTGTTTGAAAATTTTCATATATTTCTCTACCAATCTACTATTTTGTAAGATTTAAATAGTCAAAGTATCATATTTATCACATTTTAAAAAAAGTTAACTTGTATGCACTCCAACTGTTTGATGAAATGCATAAACTAAATTACCACGTTATATTCACATATGAATATGTTTTCTCACCTGAATCAATATGTGATTATTAAAACACAAAACAAATATGCAAGTCTGTATGTTATTCATATGTGAATAACATATAAAAATTATATATATTTCTGAAAACACCTTGTAATATTCATATATGAATATACTGTGCAATATTCACATATGAATATACCAACTATTATTCATAAGTGAATATACGATCTAATATTCACAAGTGAATATACTATGTACTATTCTCATGTGATATACCATGTAATACTATATAATATTCACATATGAAAATATCATCTAATATTCATAAGTGAATATATCATCTAACATTCACAAGTGAATATACTATATAATATTCACAAGTGAATGCATCGTCTAATATTTAAATATGAATATACTATGTTTAGTATATGCTATATTCATATATGATTGATACTTAAATTGTAAAAAAAATTAATCATAGTTTTTATTCATAAGTGAATAACGAATGTACTGTAGTAAAAACCTGATTCATTTTTATTCACTTATGAATAACGATAGCTGAAAATATAAAAAAAATAAATTTTTTATTTTATCTTAAAACTATATCAATATGGATGTCTATTTGTAGAGAATAAAAAATCATGAATTTTGGTATATTTAAAATCATTTTTTGATAAAAATAGTTTCTTAAAAATTAAAAAAAAAAACGAAAAAACTATGTTTTTGTATATATTAAGGTAATGTTTAGCATAGTTTAAGGAAAATGTTTTGTTGGAAAACACATGTGCATTCATTTCCCATTTTCGCCGGTACGTTGGAGGCTTTTGCGGCAAAAATAAATTATTGACTGAGAATGATTCCCCCATTCTCAACTTTTTTTTCTCAATTGAACCCTCCTCTATATATATATATATATATATATATATATATATATATATATATATATATATATATATATATATATATATATATATATATATATATATATATATATATATATCGAACTATATATGTATTGAACCGTCTATATACATAGGAACATACAACCAAAGTACGAGGTATCATCATAAAAGTACTACAAGACATTGGAACTCAAAATAATACAGGTTGTACTGCTACATATGACCGTTAGACCCTATTACCAATGACTTACAACAGTTAAACGGCTAGTAAGTACATCTTCATGTACCTCCAGGTATACGACCATAAATACGACAAGATAGCAAACCTGCCCGGTAGATGAAGAGGTCGTTACCTCTTCATCTCGACTATAAATAAGTAATCCATGTCATCTTTATAAGGCACGCAAACAAAATACATATTTATTACCCTCTCTTTTTACATTAATGGATCACCAAATCATCACTCATGCGTAAACACTTAATCCCTTATCTAGTATTGCAATTTATAATATATGTATTAAAATATATGCATTGAAATTTAAGTGATATACATTAAGACTTATAGAGAATGCCCTTGATGTTTCTATCATTCACAAAATGCTTGTTGTCGCCGCTCGCTTCATGAAACATGATGGTCAAACTTCTACCAAAGTGCGACCTTCTCCTTTTTAGATTGTATGAAAAATGATACAAATGAAAGTTTTAATCAAACTACATTTATAATATTTCTTTCC